TGTGAAGTATATAACAAATTTATGTGTGTCACGAATTTAAAAGTTTCAAATGTTCATTATGCATACACAAATTCTAGCCTTTCTCGAGATACAGAAAGATACGTCTACCATTCTTCAAGACTACGCGATGACTGATACACTTGAAATCATTTCCTTCTCCCTACTTAAACACAAAATACCTCAGCTCATTAATTTATGTTTATTCTTCGTAATCCAAATGAATCATTATCTGTTTCCGTATTGATGATTTATTTAATGACGTAAAGGCAAGATACAAACGCATTAACTTTTGCAAACACATTAAAACTATAATGTTTCTGACAACATATATAAAAGTTAAAAACATATGATCAGAAAACACGGCAGTGGGAAATATACATATACGTATTTGGGATGTTTATTTTGTATAATATAAATATTTTGTATAATATAAATATTTGTTTGATTAATATATAAACAATTATATATATATTGTTATGTCCGCTTTGCATCAATATAGAGGAACCTCTAGAGTATAATAGTCACAGTAAGGTTTGAATAAATTTTAAGTATATTAAAAATAAATAAATCAACTTGGTTTTATACACTAAAATATCCTTTAAAGTATCTACTATAAGAAAAATATCAGTCTTACAACACCAATTTTTATTATAAAAAATAGATTAATAGGACGAAATTATTGTTTTATGGTTTATCGAAAGCATACTTAACTTCGCTCTCTATGCAAATATATCAAAGAAATTATAACTCAGGACAGCGAACGCAGTAAACAATTTCTAGTAACTATTAGCTGAAAATAATGTAACAACTGATAAATGAATACGATAAGTTATATTTAACACTAACTATTGCATAATATTTCATTACATGATAGCATTTCTCCAAAAAATTATTGACTACACTCCATTAATATGAACAAGATGTTTCTAATCACTCGCAATCGGGACATATTATAATTTGAAATTAAATGTTTTATTCCGAATCTATTTAGCCTAATAATTTGTTGATTCGCAACGTTAAGTTATAATTAATAAAACATTTTTTAAAACTATTTATAACAAGTTTATTAACATTTTTATTTACACAAACATAATCACATCATTTATAACAAATTTCCAAATTCTTCCATTTTGTTGTCTTAATACTTGTTTAAACCTTGCTGTGACTATTATGCCCTGGATTCCTTTATATCAGTGCAGAGCGGGCATAACAATATATATATAATTATTTATATATTAAATCAAACATATATTTATATTATATAAAATTAAACATCTTAAATACGTATGTATGTATACTTCCCACTGCTGTTGGCTGATCATGGCTCGATCAATTATGTCGTTTGTACTTCGCTGTAGCGTTTCTTCATCTACAGTTTATAAGAACTAAGAAGAAATTGAAGAAGAAATGGTTCATTTACATTCTGCCTTCGCAACTGTAGATGAAGAAATACTACAACAAAGTATAAACGATACAATTGTCGAGCTACATTACACATTATACATGTATACAATACATACAACAAAATAGAAAGCATTTTAAAAACTTATTATAAATAATGTTATAAATTTGTTATGAATAATTTAAAAAGATGGTATATTAATTAATTACACTTCGTATTAACAAATCATTTGGCTTGATAAATTTGGAAAAAAATGTTTAACCTTTAGAGGACCGGACTGGCTACTACATGGTCAGTAACAGAAGTTTGTATAACTTGAATCACCACAGCCCATCAAATATTCAGCTATTATTTCATATAAAGGCCTTCACATATAAAATCCCCTCTGGGGTTAAATATACGATTAGAATTGGTCGATTTCCTTATGCTTACGTTTTTATGTCCTTACGGAGTTTTATGCGAGGTCTATAGTAGAAGTCGTAGCAGTCGTAGGGTCTTAAGCCGTAGGAAATTGACCAATTAAATTCGAATATGAGAAGAATATTTGATTATGATTGGTCAATTTTCTTGTAGACTCTGCATTATATGTGAAGGCCTTAACTGAGAATGTGTTGCCAAGAAAAATTTAACAGTAATTTCATTTTTTGCCACTAGGAGGCATACCGATTTTATTTACTCGCCTAAAGGAAAATTTTATATATACGTAAATGTCTATGTTATTAAATTCGACTTATCTAGACTTATCTAGGTAAATAACATTAATTCTACATAAAATTTCGATAATCTGACTTCAGAAAAATGTTCTGCGACATCAAAAACACCTAGAAATACTAAAAATAAAAAATAAAAATTTTCCACATTGGCCGTCCCGTTACGGATCGGACTGACCACTATAATAGTTAGTGAAAAACTCCTTGTGACATAAACATTCAATATATATGAACTTTACATTAAAATTTTCAAAATTTCAAGGCAAAAATGCCGACTCTTTAAAGGTTACCATTAAATTGTAGTGTATTCCAATTGCGGAATTAGAATACCCTATATATACTCGAGATTAAATCTGATCTAAATAACTACTGACAAGCATAGCTTGAGTTAGAATTATGTAATAAAAGTGTTTTTATCTTTCCTCTTATAAGTGCCTTACAGCACTAAGCGAAGGAGGTATTGCGACGTAAAGTCTGAATATGGATAGTTAAAAAAAAACGTCATTATTATCGTCATTATTAGGAAGCATGCATCTTGGATGTCAAGTGCGTAATTCTTACATTCTTTTTATATATAGGGTGTTAAAAAAATTATTCAGTATTTATATGATAGATAGTATACACCATACTAAGTAAAAACCTTAATGAACATAAACGAAAGTTCAACTGTTTCTGAGATATAAACATTTTTGTATGTTCGCGTCATGAATAATTTACTGGCCTTTACGTGTTGCATGCGACGCTTACCTCAGCATTTATAAACTGCGTTCTGAACGTCTTCATTCAATTTTCATATATCATAATAGAAGAATTCTAGTACAATCAGTCAGTTGTCACAAACCGATGATTAAGAATCTATATATTATTTGGTGATTACATATAGTTACATGATATCGTATTAAAAATGTCAATGTATTATTATATAATACTTTACTCAAGAAATGGCAGATATGTATATTTTTTATATAGTTATGCTAATGGAAATGTCATTCATGATACTGACATACAAAAATGTTAGTTTATATCTCAGAAACGGTTAAGCTTTCGACCTATTTTCATTAAGGTTTCCTTACTCATAATGTATAATGTATAATATATATTATAATACCATATAAATGTTGAATAGTTCTTTTTTGACACCCTGTACGTACAAGGGTTAGTCTAAAAGTAAGTATTCCTATTTTAGAAAAAACATAAAAGGAAAGTTTAAAAATCTAAAAAAAAAATTTTTTTAACTTACAACAATTTGGTTATATTTAAAAAATCGACACTTTTTCCTATACATTTGTTGTATCGTAAAAAAGGTTTCTTTACGCTTTGTTGGTATCATGGCGTGTCCATTTTCAAGAGCCGTCTATTAATAGCCGTCCTATAACTTTCTCGTTATTATTGAATCGCTAATGACCGTCTAGAGCTTCAATTTGGGGAAGAGATGAAAGTCACTTGGAGCAAAATCCAAAGAGTACAGAGAGTGTTTCTAAGGTCACAGAACCTGCTCAAGATTGTATTCGGAAATGTTACCCGAATGTTCCCGTGTATCATCTTATATTTAACATTGGATGAGCAACAAAAATAAAACGATATGATCATTACAATCATGACATATTCATGATGATCATTTTAAAGTACAAAGTTCAAGTTTTAATTCAAACTCTATTAAAAGTCTTTAGTACGTCAGGTTTATCTGCAACGTTGTTTTAAAAATGGCCAAAAGTATGCCTTTTTAACACATTTGATCTCAATTTTCTCAAACACTTGATGTGATAAACAGATTTTGCTTTAGGATTTGAATTCTATTTGAAAAACTACGATAGAAAAATGTAGTCACATTTTTGATAATTTTTCCTTGTCAACTAGTATAATAATTACCAAAGTGGAAACCTTAAATGAAGCTGAATGATTTTGCAGAATACGACTAATTATTGCAGACGTATTATTATCAATAATGTATTATTATTGAAGCTTTCAAAGGAGGTAAAATATTCTACATAATGTTTTCTGATCACTGTTCATAATTTTTAAACACAATGATGATGCAAGTTTTAACAGTTTTTGCGTTATCTTCCTAGCTAAAGCGCTATACAGCTAAATATTCATGAAATATTCATAAAAGTTACCTAAAATCTCAAAAAAACATTCCGAGAATTCCGAAATGGAAAAGTAATATTCAAATATCGATTAAAAATTCCATTTTTACATTGTTAAATATTTTGACAGTGCTTTATATATTAAAATTTCGTAAAATTTCAAATTTTTGAAAATAAATAGTATTTTGAATAATATTAGCTAAAAAATTTATTTCTTTGAAGTGATTGATGATATATAGTCACATAATATTTATTTAAATGGACAAAACAACCGTACATATTCTTAGATATATTTTTTATACAATCTAAAATTAATATATAAATTTTTAATATTTAGTAATAAACAACAAAGGAATTAAAAATGAACATATACCACGAGAGATGCTGGATAGATTTAGTGAAATTATATTGTATTTCGTAGAATATTAAAACGAAATTTTTATTATTATTAGTAAACGATTCGGCCTTTAATATGACCATCATCGGTAAACGAAGAAAAATTAATTTAATATATTGCGAAGAATATTACTTAAATATGGCGTTTCGTCCCAGCTTCCACTACTGGACTCGTCAGTAAGGCATTGTAGTGTATCCAGCGTCTTCGTGGTATATGCTCATTTTTAATTCCTTTATTGTTTAATATATAAAGTTCCGTACAAATCAACAAAAATTATTTAATATATTATATATACATATATATATCAAATAAGATAGAACATTGTACATATTGTCTAACCAAATTCTGTAAACTATGAAAGACTGTTTCTTTCTAAAGAATTTTATTTGCATTTCTGAATAATATCACAAGGATTTCGATCTTATAAAGCGTATAGTTAAGATAAAAAATAATAATAACCACGCAACATTGATTAAAAAGCCAATATAAACTTCTGGCTCAGATATGGAATATCCTTTGTAGATGATTCCTCTCATTGATAAAGAGGGCAAGGTAAGTGGCGATGCATAGCTAAACCAGCGAAGCACACTTGGTATTCCCTCGACTGGCCAAAAAATTCCTTTAATTTTATTAAATAATGTATTAATAAAAATTTGATTAACATTTGATAATCCTTCACAAGATGTTATTGATGTAATTTGGATTAACATTTGCTAACTTATTATATTACTATGTCTTAATAGTAATATAACGTACAGCTATATACAATACATAACAAAGAATTGTAAATTCAGAAATAATCAGATTAATAATATTATGTAGCGGGCGCACACATACACACACACAATACTAGATTAAAAAAAAATTCCTAAAGCATAAAAAGTAAGGACTTACCGTTGAGCATTAGTAACAGCACAAAACTTCCGGTCGTAACGATATGCGCTGTAAAGTAATCATTGCACGTAACAGAAATAAGAAAACCTGAAAATAACAACAAAAATGATTGGTTTAGTTCCTAGTTTTTTAAAATTATTACTATATAATTATTATTATATCATATATGTATATTCTTTCTTTATTAATATCTACATTACTGTTTATTATTATTATTTATTAATATCTACATTATTACTACATTATTATCGTATAAACTATTGTATGAATTATCGTACCGTACATTAGTCCACAAAAACCCGTTAGAAATATCAAGACCATTACAGTAAATATCGGTCCTTTACATTCTAGACCCCATATAGGAAATAATAAAAGCATTATCACAACAGTATGGGTAATGATAATGATATTCTGAACAAGAACGTGAGACAGTAGAATTTCTTCTGCTTTGACACCTATCACATATTTATATTTTACATTTGCATTATTGTGATAAGAAATAAAAAGATGATGAAATAATAATTGTAAAACATAATTTTGGATATGTGACTAACGATATATTAATAAGTTACCTTGAACTATACTACGATACCAGACACCCTCCATCCGATCTGTAATTATTATAGAGACAGAAAGTGTGAGGGCTAAAAAGAAGCTAAGACTGCAAGGATATAAATAGTTTAGTAACAGCTAAAAATTAATTTTATTCAATTGAATTAAACCAACGGCACATGATGCTTGTTTTACTGCTGGTTTAATTAATAGATCCATTGCGCGTTGTGTTGCGGTCTGTGTTGCGTGCTGCTGTGATGAAAGTGCTGCTAGATATGGTTTCACACATGTTAACTCACTTGCGAGTTAGCTTGATGTTTCGGTTCAGCTATAATTTTGTTAACCGGACAAATGACCGGTTAACTAATTAAAAAATTAAAAATTTTTAAAATTATAATTATATAATATAATTAAAATTGAAATATATTAAAATTAAATTTATATTTAAATTTAAATTTAAAAATTAAATAAAATTTAAAAACTTAATTCTTTTTTTATTTTTTGTTCCCATTCTCTAGTTACTATTAGTATAAGAACAATCGCGTAGCTAACCTTTGTTTCCTAATAGTTTCCATTTTTTTTTTCCTGTAAATTTACCCTACCGTAAATTTGGTATAAGAATCGTATATGAAGGGTTCAAATTCGTATATGAAAGACATACGAATCATATCTGATCGTATGCGATAACATGTTAATTGCATGATCGTATACGATTTGTATACGATTCGTATACGATTCGTATACGACTCGTGTAAGATTCGCATATACTTCATAAACGATCGGATATGAATCGTATGTCTTTCATATCCTGTTCACATACGATCTTATCCCATTTACGTATACCATGACATATGATTTTGTCTTATGCGACTTTCACGGTAGGGTATTCTTACTTTTTTATTTCTTTATTAATACGTAAAACATATATATGTTAAGTTATACTCTCTTCTTCTTAAATATACCTTCTGAATTTTTAATCTAAATTCTTTACCTATTAGCAGCAAATCTTCCAAGAAAAATATCACCGGATCTATCATTGAAAACTAGCATGCTAGCACGCACAGCAACACTCAGTACGCCATGTTTCTATCAGTGTAGTCAGTACGGCTGCTAACATAACGCCTCACATGCGATTCAGCAGGAAAATAAGCATTGTGTGCTGTCGGCTTTAGATTGACTTTTGCTTACCATAATATGAACGTTGGTGCCATGTAATTTGAAAAATTGAAATCGATCGTACCGTAAATGGGTTCTTCAAACTAAAAAAAAAATAAAATAAAATTTCATTCTTTCATTCTATTTCTATATAAGAGAATGAGGGAGGAAGGTGGAGAGAAAGAGAGAGAGAGAGAGAGAGAGAGAGAGAGAGTGTGTGTGTGTGTGTGTGTGTGTGTGTGTATGTATGAGAGAGAGAGAATAGCAGTTAATCTGAGTACCCTACCTAAACATTTTGATGGTCTAATAAAATTATTTTAAGATCTGTATTTAGTTATAAATTTTTAAATACTTCAGCAAAATTGTTTTTTTCTTGAAGAAATTGAATATATTATATATATAATAACTAATTATAAAATATATACTTACTCGGATGGGCAGACTGGCCAACTTTGACGAATATTTGCAGTCTTTCATGATATCCTCATAAAATTCTAAGAAACGATGGAATAATTTCTGCTGCATAAAACGTCCAATTTGCATATCTGTATAACAAATTTAAAATTTACCTTTCTCTATAATTTCATCAATACAGTGATTAATTTGCATTTTATTGTTGCTGAAATTTTATGACTTACTATGGTTTTCAGTTTCTTGGATCTTTTTGTATAATTTTTTTGAGAGAATAATATATTTTATTTTTTTGTACTTTCAATAATATTTTTGGATACAAATTGGTTAAACTTCTAAACATAAATAATAAGAAATGCTTTGTTAATGTATGTTTAAAAATATAATAATGTACCTCCCATATCGAGGAAAACTTGAATCTGGCTGGCGAGTATATCGTAATGTTTCGTGGAAAATGATTTTTCCATTCGTATCTGCCAAGCTTCGGAAAAATTTTGACTAAAATATAGTAAACCATTGAGTTCTGAATTTTGTACAGCTTGTCTTGCCTCGGAAATGTTATAATATTCCTGCAAATGAAGTATTAATAATTTTAAGAAATATTTTAATGTTTTGATTATTGTTAGTGTGTCATTCTCTCAATTTATATGTGTGGAAATGTATTACAATTTTTATATTTCAGTTTAATGAATAATTTCTTGAGAAAGATGTTAAAGAAATTTGTTTGCCTGAAAATAAATTGTTTACACATTGTTTGCATCAGAGTTGAGAAGTAAAGGCATTACTCGTAATGTTACTTTTACATTTTTATTCCTTAAAAAATATTTTATATTTTATATCTTATACTACAGATGAAAAAAAAAGCGTCATTTCATTCGTTAAATTCTCGTTACTTATAATAAATTTGATAATGACAATGCGTTTATTTAAACAATTTAAGACTAAACCCGTAGGTTCGAAAAGTCGATTTTTTAAACTTAAACTTAACATAAACTTAGTGTTTAGTTATAAAAAATTGCAACGTCATTAGCAAATTGTTTATTACAAAAATAAAAAAAATAACGGAAAAAGTCAATACCAATATTGAAAATCTATAATTCATATTACAATATATACTACGGATTTTCAGTACTGGAAGTGAATCTTGAAATATAAATTTTTAATAATGACATCAATTTAAAAACAATATTTAATTTAAATTCTGTAATAGTTGAGTTTAGCTTCCAACGATAGTTTCTGTCACATCTGGTCGTTTTTTATGTAGAAATGTACTGAATGCGTCTAATTTTATCAATATAGTACTTGAAGAAACTAAACTTAACAATTTTTCGAAAAGTAACGAAAGAGTAACGATTCGTTAGTTTTTCAAATTACAATAATGAAAACAAATTTTTTAAATGAATAAATAGTAACGATAAAGAATTATGTTTAACAAAAAACAATTGTAACGCGATATTTTTTTAAGGCAACGTTTTTAATTCTAATTTATCTATATCATACCTGCTGACAGTTGCACAAAAATCGTTGCCTATATACATGCACTTTTGCGCACTAATAAAAATTTCAGACACATGTAGGCAAATAATTTATAGGCAATATTGTGATGTGTGCAATGCAGTTTATACGCAGTAGTATGTACAGTGTTGCACAAATGCCAGGAGTTCGATTTTAAAAGTCTATGTTTCATTTTTAGTTATTATTACATGATACGACCAGATGTTGTATCAGCGATCATGAATATATCATAGTATTAATAAATTGACTCAATTCAGTGAAATTTTTGCAAGTGTAAAAGCAATTATATTTTTTCAAAACTACAACTTATCTGATATATTAAAGACTTCGATTCCCGTCATCTTTCAATTAAATTTTGGAATATTTTAGAAATATTTCTCTGATCAAAACTGTGAAAATTACGTCGGTTGACTGTTAAAACACAATTTACTAACACTACGATATATTCATGATCACTGATGCAACATCCGATCGTATCAGTCGTGAATGTAAAAATAACTAAGGACAAAACATAGACTTCCAAAATTGAATCCCAGGCATTCGTGCAACGCACTATACTGAAAGTGTCTTTTTCTCTTAATTTTTAATATATGAGCAATAGAAGCAATCGAATTGTAGGCAAACATTTTTATGCGTACGTAAATTGTTGGTAAATGATGTAGATAAATGGTTCTTATAGACAGAACGCGGAAACGTTTGCCATGTGGCGGAAATTGGCGCAACAACCAATCAACATTTTGTCGGCGAGACATTGATTGGCTATCGCGCCAACTTCCGCTACGCGGTAAGCGTTGCCGCGTTCTGTCGGAGATATACTTTATCATTTTGTAGGCAAAAAGAGCAATCTCTTAAGGAAACATGAACTTGTTTTAATCACATTATACCGACTATACATTATTAGTTTTTAAATCGTGGTACCTGTGTAGCGATAGAGTTGTCAAAATTGTGCAAAAATCTACAGCTGAGGTTACTAAAATGACAAGTGATTTCGTCACTCCAAACATTGCCAATGTTACTGTCGAAATTGCAGTTATCGACTTCGTCGTTGACAACGCCAATCTTTAAATTTTTCGGATCACCACCAATTCCAAAAATAAATGAGCCAATTTCAATTATCGGAAATACTATTGCAAAAACTAGTACTCTGAAAAAATGTATCATTTATTATTGATTACCGTTATGACATATGCTACGAGTGATAAATTTAAATTTTTTAAAATATAGTGTTTTGTGTACAATGGTTCAGAGATGTACAACAATAATACAGAAAGTTCCAAATTTTGAAATTGAAATAATTAAAACTATTAATTTTTTTTCTGGATATCTTGTATATATTTTATATCCCCTGTACTCTATGCCTTATATGCAACTATATATATTTCCCCTAGGAGAATCAATTATTAATATATATATTTACTCATAACAAAGCAAAAATTGAATGCCATTCTTCGTCAACAGAGCTTTGAACCTTTTCACTCGCGAAACTTGATGTTCCGAAACCACTTCATACTTTGAGATTGCCTTAAAATTTCAATTTATTTATGTTAAAAAATAATACTAATTATATAGCTTTTTATAATTACAATAATTACGTATAGATCATTTCTACATATATACATCAGTTGTTTCACATTGATTTTGGTCCTGATATAAGAAGTCATTGTCGGTATCTTTCACTTCAGATCTCCGAGCTTCATTTAAAGTGACTGTATTATCTTGGATATTACATAACTTCAGAAAGGCCTCTTCTAAGAAAGAACATTGAAATTGCTCCAGCAATTTCTGCGGCGCTGATTCTGCTAACAATTTACCATATCTCATCAATCCAATCTGTGTAACAATGAAGATGCACAATATCGAATTTATGCCATGTATCAATCAAAACACATTTTTTTTAATGAAATAATTAAAAGTTAAAAAGAAACTTTCTTAGTAATTTCTTTACATTAATATTATTACAATTATTTTAATAAAAAGAAGACGCACTTTATTAGCATCTTTAGTTTCGTCAATGTAGTGTGTCGTGATCAGCACTGTGGTATTTTCCTCCTGAGTAATTTGGATCAGATAGGACCAAATTCTGCACAGAAAAAGTACATCCAAATATTTTCTTATTATTATTCTTTATTCTATTTTAAAAAAAAAGCAAAATCTACTTACTTCTCTCTTAAAATTGGATCCATACCCACAGTGGGTTCATCAAGGATTATAAGTTCGGGCTTGTGGATCAATGCGGCGACAAAGGAAACCCTTCTTTGCTCTCCTCCACTCATGTTCTTCACCAGATGATTATATGGAGGTAGTTGAAGCAACTCCGAGAAAAATCTCAGTCTCGTCTCTTGGAAATAATACGGAAGAGCTATAGGTTCGTATTACCTTACGCTTTGAAACATTTGGTATATCAGGAGACGCGGTAGTGTCTCCGGCCATGTTAAAAAAATTAATAGTTAATTTAAAAGTTTGTTTAAAAGATTAATAATTTTTTTAAATTCTTTATATTTTAGTAGTTATATGAATATAACATATACACATACATTGTATATAATATACGAATAATTTAAAACAAGGACTTATATACCGTTTAAAAGACGTTTATTTTAAAAGTATTTGATAAAACTGAAACCTCTCGAAACACGTATAAGGTTTCACGTTCAAACAAGTAACAAGTGGTAATATTTTTTTATATTATATGTCTTACCGATTTCCTCATCGTCGAGACCGTTGATTCTACCAAAATAGTAGAGGGCACTTCTCACGGAAAACTCTCCAACCAAGGAAATCTCTTGCGGCATGTAACCTACTCGAGGTCCAGAGATGCCAGAGTCCTTGCTGCCCGGATTTCCTCCCAAGACCCATATTTTTCCACTATCAAGATGCCGAATTCCGACAATGCAAGATATTAGTGTAGTTTTACCACATCCGCTAGGTCCCAACAATCCGTATCTGTTTAAAAGGACGATTTCGCTTACATGCTCCATCTTATGTTCGACAATATACTGAGCGAGATTCTTTTATCTAGATTTTCGTATTTTATAAATATTCATTACGAAATTATACGATTATTTTGTCGTATATTTTGTGTGAATAGCAAGAATTTAAGAAATTAGTAAATGTACATGGAGAAACGACAATTTATTAGCCGTTTCTTCAATAATATTAAAATTGTATAAATAATCACAAATTGTAAGTTATTTTATCGCTCGTCCTCCTCTATAGAGCATCTTTTTCTTTTTTTTTCTTTTTATGAATATTTTGATTATTCGTTACAATTTGAGAGCGATTAATTTACTGTATTTATTGACATGTCAAAGGTGAATAACAATTATGGTACTCTTACATGGAATTCGTTGGTACAGTCATATTCAAGCCGTCGAAAACTAACTCTTTCCCATAACTCTTTACAGCGTTTCTTACGATCACCGCTTCCTGCTGTACCATTTTATAAAATAATGTTTGGTCAGCTAAAATGGAACTATTTTTTCTCAGATGGATTTGACAAATGATGACTTCCTAAAAAAATTGACTGTTTAGAAAAGTATTAAATTGAAAAGAAGAATGAACAGGTTTACTATTATATAATATATATTCTTTATTTATTTAATATGGAATTTAATTTTGTGCCAGTTGATATCAGATCTTTTATATGAATGATATATAAATTTTTGTGGAATTTAACTTGATACCAATTATTAATATCAAATATTTTCTACAAATAATACATATTATTAGAGTTAAATGAAAAAGATAGTACCACATAGATCTTATTTTTAATTTGATAGAATTTTTACTTAGTTAGTTAGGGCTATAGCATTTGGGTTTCAATTTTTAATTTAATTAAGTATAATAATTTTTTTCAGGGAATAACTTTTAACAGAAGATTATTGTTGCCATTACTCAGATTAAAATAAAAATTAATATTTTTGAAAATATTCTTAACGCGACTCTATCTGTGAGTATATTTTTCTACAAGAAATGCAAATTAACAAAAAAATATGTCAATGAAAAAAACAATTCTCATGCATTGTTGCACAAACATTCTGTGATTTCTTGAAAATTAAAATTTAAAATAAACTATAACTAATTTGTGAGAATATTATGTTTAAGGTTGGTTATCATTTACGTTACATCTATACGCTCTAGCGCACTAGGTGGGATGTTGGAATCTGATATCATCTATGTGTATTGTTTTATACAGGAAATTCGAAATAATGAAGAATACACATATTAATGAGAAAACAAACCTGCGGCAAATATACGTGCGATTATTACGTCTCTTAATAAAATTTGTACACCCTAATAAAAAATATGATTTTCATTTATGATGAATTATGTTTATATTTTTATAATACTTTATAATAATTTTCATTATACAAGATCTTCTATTAAGAGGTTTTTATTTTAAATTTCGTGGCATTTTATTTTAGATGCAGTTGTTATATTTGACAGTTGTTAAATAAAAACTATGTGGTTATCAACAATGGATGAATATTTGCTTGAGCAACGCATAGGAATAGTGAAAAGTCATTAGAAATCCGATGAAAATTTTGCGGAGAAGTTTTCAGGACATGTCATTTCACGCAACGGAGACTTCAATTGGCCGTCCAGTTCGTGCGGTTTGATACCTCTGGATTTTTTTTTTTTAGATTATGTGAAGGATAATATTTACTCAAATGTGCTCCGCAAACGATTCAGGCGCTCAAAGATAATATTCGAACTGTTGGCGAAATCGAGCTGTAATTGTGCGGTTAGTCGAAAAACGTGATAAAATATGTCTTTAAAAGAATGACCATTTGTAAGAAAAGTCAATGTGGCCATTTGGCTCACATTGTGTTCCACGTTTATTTAATCACACAATCTGTACTTTGAATTGAAATCAATACATCTCAATGTTTTCAAAAAATTCTTCGCTTCTTTATTAATATAAAAAAAAAAAACCTCTTAATGGAAGACCCAGTATATTAATCATTGAATAGATATAAGATATTCAAGTATTATGTCAATATTGAATATAGAAGTCTTAAATTTATTTAATTAATTAATCATAGACATTGTACGTATTTGAATTAAAAAACATTCATGTGATTTAATAAATTTATGTAAAAATTTAAATTATAGGAATATTATGCATAACATTTTAAATTGTAACTTATTGATTTTACTTTGTTAAAAGAACACCTTTTATATTATTTGTTTTCTGCATTTTAAAATACCTATGATATAAATAAAAAATAATTGTAACTATTTTATCTTTGTATATTTATAATTTAATACTAAATTGTTTAAGACCTCATACAATACATACGTTTTGTCAAGTTTGGATTTAAAGTTTTAGATTTAAAGAATTTTCTTTTTCTTCGACTAATTCGATAACTACGATTTTTGAAAGAATAAACTTAAATTTATTGATCAAACGAGTACATTTGTGATTAAAAGTAAAGTAAAATCGTCCAGCTAAAGCTACAATAATAAAGCAGACTACAATTCGTAAGTACTTTATGACGTAAGAAGATGTTCTCAGGTTTTAATAATACACTCAGCAGCAAAATTAAATTAATTTTTAAATTAATTAGTTAATTAATTAATTAAAAAATAAATTAATAAATAAATAATAATAAAGAATAATAATTAATTAATAAAAATAGAAGTAAAAGTAATAATTAATTTATTAATATAATAATAAATTAAATGTACTAATTAAATGTACTCGTTTGATCAATAAATTTAAGTTTATTCTTTAAGTTTAATGATACTATTTAACTATCACGTAACTATACAATATTTGAAATAAAAAGAACGCTCGCGAAGCATATTATTATTTACATTTATCTTTATTTTCACATTATTATTATGCAAGCAGACAATTTTTTATTCATGTATTACGTAAGAAATAAAGGCAGTATTTATTTCATTAACTTTTCATCATTTATGCAACACAATATGAAAAATGGTCAAATGCCGATATTGTTCATAGCTTTTGCTTATTATTTAAGATAAGATATCTTAAGTACAGTCTTAAGATGTCGTAAACTAATCATAACAGAGCCGTATGAGCGTCTTAAAAGACATCATTTATGAATACTAGTCACGGACTAGGTACACGCAAGTGAGGCGCGCGCGCCGGCCCTGAGCGCTGCATGGATCCGAGGGCTTATTCGTTAATTTCAAGAAGCTCTCATGCAAAAACTATTTGTCGGACGCAATTTTGCTAAAGGAAAAAGTTGTTTGTTTTAGAACATAAAGTATCATGTCTTGTACTCCGTATCCGCGAATTTCGGATCATCCTGTATACATATAAATTAAATGTTTTTTCCTAATTTCTTTAATCGATTCAATTGATTACAAAAATATAGGAGCGGGGCTTTTCGTTCATTTCTCGCGATAATATTGATTATTTAAAGATTGTATTTGTGCTCTTAAGGAGCAATTATGATTGTATAATGTAATTATAAGCACGTAACTGCAAAAAGATACTGTTTGCTGCGATAAATTTTCGTATTACTTTAAAGTTGAATCTGGCGGAATAATCCCGTTCTACAACTATACCAGCGAAGGGTTGCAGGATGTCGCCCGCATATATAGTCCCGTTATATCCCGCTCTACAGAAAAAAAAATAATGTCGTATTTTAGCATATTGCATTGAGATATTTTATAAATTCTGTAATATTAGATACCTTTACAAACCCAAAAGCTTAAAATGTTTTGACGATTATTACACACATTTCCTATGAACTTTGTTGAGAGATGTGAAGTGATGCGTCTGATATTCTACAAGAGACTAAGCGAAAACTAACTTGACTTTACCTAAAAGTGCGTGTAAGTATCGTTTCCTTCTCTATATCTAGAATCTAACTATAAGTTATAATTTTTATATATTTGTAATTCAAATGAAACATTATGTATTTTTCCAGTTTATATAATCATGCAATCCGTAGATGTGTAGATGCAATTCCTATTTCATCTTTAACGGATTTCAAAGATATCTAGAAAAAATAAAAAATTACAAATTTTAAAGAGGTCTGTAGTTTTTTATTTTTTCCAATTTTGGACACAAAATACAGTGCTCAATATATTAGCATGTAAATTTTAATCGTGGAAAAGGAATCTTTCTTTGAAACTACTACGAAAATATTGGATAGGAATCTTTTATCTTTATCTTATCTTAGATACAAGAAATAGTATCTTTTTTAAACTGTCTAAGATTGTACAAAAGTGTATTATAAAAAATAACTTCCGGTAGTAGTAGTAGTAGTAATGAGAACTTTTTTTGTTTTATGGACAAAAAATAGAGATTAGTGTGATATCAGTCATTTAAAAATATAGTAGCTGCTGCATGCTCAGACGTTTATGCATGTCTTGTGTGTTTTGTTTTTAATATAGGGTTCATTACTTTACTTACCCCTTTAACTTACTAACCCCGGTCTCCCCTAATGACTCAAAGAGATGCTTGATATGCTACAAATGCTTGATAGTGTGAGATACGGGCAAGACCGGACTGAAAACGGTCCATATAGCGATAAAAAATTTTTATAAGCGCATGTTTAATCAAATAAAATTTTATTATTTATTTAAATTAGAAAAAAGGAATTTTTTAAAATATAACTATCATTTTATTGAATAAATAAGATTAGCCATAAAATTTATTTCTTCAGAGTGTTTAATTGTTTATAGTCGAAAGGTTAAGTTTTAGTATTTGTTATTCTTTTAAATGTATAGCTTCGAAGTTTGTAAGGAATTGATTAATTATATATGACCGTTTTGCTTTAATTGTTTTAAAATTATTTTATTTGATTCTTACAACGTCCTTTTATTTTTTCGTTTATGTTCATATCAAGAATCCTTTAACAATTTTATATTATTAATTGTTTATAGTCATATGTAATAACTATTAAAATGAACAAAAGAACTATACATTTTCTTACAATTATATAAATATATTTTTATACAATCTAACATCAGTATAAAATTTTGTACACATAAATCAACAAGAATAGTTTTATATGTATATACACATCATATTAGATGGCACATTCTATACATTTGTCTAACTGAATTTTTTTAACTATTAAGACTGTTTTCTTTTTAAAGAATTTTGTTTACGTTTTTGAACAATATCTTGGATCTTAGATTTTAGGACTTCGATCTTACAAGAAATATAGTTAAGATAAGAAATAACAATAACCACCCTACAATTATTAAGAAGCCAATATAAACTTCTAAGATATGGAAAATCCTTTGTAAATGATTCCTCTCATTGATACAGAGGATAAGGTTGATGGCACTGCGTAGCTAAACCAGCGAAGCACTTTTGGCATTCCCTCCACTGGCCATATACAACCTCTATATAATTTTGTCAATTAATATACATTAATAAAAATGTGATTAGCGTAAGGTAATTTTTTTTTATATATTATTGATGTTAAATTGTATTAACACTGTGGCTAACTTTTATATTACTATTAACAAAAATATAATGTATTGCTACTTTATATGCTTACGTCATTAATGTAATAATACATAACAAAGAATTGTAAAAAATGAATTGTATTAAATTAATAACGATATCATGTAGCAATATTAGAATAAATAAATTATTAAGCAGAAAGAGTAAGGAGATTCACCGTTGAGAAACATTATCGTAATTAAAGTTCCGACCGTAGTGTATTGCGCTGCAATGTGATTTTTGCATGTAACAGAAACGACAAAACCTGAAAATGCATTAACACAAATGATTAGTTTGGTTTTTTTATAGTTTCTGAATTATTACTATATTAATTTAGGAGAGTGTTACTGTATGCGTATCAATTGAGTTTGATTGACTTTTGCTTACATTAGCACGAATGGTGGTGCTGCGTAATCTGTATAACTGAGATCGGTCGTACCGTAAATAGGTTCTTCAAACTGAAAAAGAATAGAATTATTTTCCTTCATTTTAGTTCTAAGAAGGAGAGAGAGAAAGACATTTTTAGACGGCAATCAGTTTGAGGATATCTTAACGTTTTGATGATCTAATAAAATTATTTTAAGATCTGTATCTAGTTATAAATTTTTAAATACTTCAGCAAAATTGTTCATTTCTTGAAGAAATTTAATAATGATTAATATATATATTTACTCGGATGGGTGGATTGGCCAACTTTGGCGAATATTTGCAGTCTCTCATGATATCCTCATAAACCTCTAAGAAATGAATGAATAATTTCTGCTGTATAAAACGTCCAATTTGCATATCTGTATAACAAAGGCACTTTAAATTTACGTATCTGTAATTTCATCAATACCGCGATTAATTTGCATTTTGTTTTTGCTAAAATATTTATGACTTACTATAGTTTTCAATTTCTTGGATTTTTTTGTATAATTTTTTTGAATAATATATTTTATTTTTTTATATTTTCAATAATATTTTTGGATATACAAATTGGTTAAACTTCTAAACTTTTAAATAATAAGAAATGTGTGCTTTGTTAATATATGTTTAAATATAATAGAGGAAGGGAGGGCAAAATGGAAGGAGAGGACAAATCGGAAAATATGTACCTCTCAAATATCCGCGAAGAAACCTTACAAATCGCTATCTTATACGAAATAAGATAGCGACTCGTACGCTTAAAGGTGAGTTCGAAATATTTACAAGTGTATTTCCTTCTTACAAAACTTTAAACGCGATTTTCCCGAAACAGTATTTTTTTAATTTTATTCCACTAAGCGTAAATTCCTCAAAATTTAATTTTTTTCCAAAAATGCTACTTCCCTAAAAAAATATATCAGAGAATACTTTTTTTTATTTTTTGTTCTAGGTCAAACCGTTCAGCCTCTAGCGTGCACGCCAATTAAGAGTTCTCAGCGTACGTGGTCATCTTTGACGTCGTCTACAGAGGATTAGGTCCAACATTTTTGTTCAAAAAAATTAATTCTTCAATTATAAATTATAATAAATCCAATTCTTAAACCTGTTTTTTGTTTTGTCTATTCTTTTTATCTGAAAAAAATTCCTGAAAAATTTTTATTCTTTGTGTCAAAGGTGGTTAACTCTCTTAATTTAGCATAGAGACTAATAAGAATCAAATAAAACAAAATAAATTAATTTTTATGTAATGTTTTAATTCTTTTATAGATTTATTATCGATCTACTAATCGTTTATAATGAATTCTTTACCTTGATGACGGATGCATCTTTATTTCATCAATGATTTATCTGCATTATTCTGTTACTTCTGAAGAAGACTTAATCCACGAGTCGAAACATGTAAAGTTTTATAGATTTTATGATTACGGTTATTTATTTTTGTATTAAGTCTGTCCTTGTTTTTTATATTTATGTATATTTTTATATCGAATTTATTCTCACTTTCCTGTCATGTTATATTATTTCATTTTATCTTTTGACTACGCGATTGAAGAAATTTTAATGTTTGACTCTTAATTTGTCTTTTTAATTTCTATTTATATTTTAGAATAAGAGTCCTTTATTTATTTATTTATTATTAATTTTTATGTATTAATTCATTTAATTTATTTGATTCTTATTAGTCTTATAAGTAAATGCAGAAGGAATACAAGTAAAAATGTAAGTTTTTAAATTTAAATTTAACGAACCAAGAATAAGTGTTATTGAAAAAATATTATAGTAGTAGTATTTATTAACGCTATCGCCATAAGGCATTAAGCAATGACTTCCTTCATACATATAATTTACATATTCAACTAAATTAAACTAAACAATATCCGCCGCAATATACCACACAATTGACTGCTTGCTGTACTCACATGTCATATATCCCCTATTTATTCTTTCCTTTTCTAATTACATTTAACTTTTCATTCAGCTTATTTAGCCATTCGTATCCATTTCCATCCTCTCTTAAAAGTCCATTCACGCTTCCATTCCATCTCTCCATTTTTTCGCACTCATACATCCAGTGTTCTAAGCTTTCTTTTACTCTTTCACACAATTCACAGTTCATTATTTCTCTATCTATCCAATAACAATTATTTCTTTCCAAATTTCCGCATCTTGCCCTAGCTATTATACACTTTTTGAAAAAATATTATATGTATTTAAATTTTCCTAACAGAGTTTTTGTCAGATTTATACTAAAACTAAAATTGAACATTATTTTATCACTAGATAGAATGAAAAATTGATAGACGCGGTGACATTTATTCTTTCTGTGCACACCATTTCACTTATATATAAGATTAATACATTGTCAACGGAAACATATTTAATGAACTGCAGGTGTATTTACTCAGTTATCTGTTCCCTTTTTGGTTTTTGTTTTTATTAGAATATAACGTATGCTGATCTCATTTTTAATTTCCTGTCTCTCCATAAACTTAAATAAAAATAAAAATATTAAAATGTAAATGATTATTTTAATTTTCAAACAATGCAATTTTTTGTACAATACAATTATTTGTACAATTAAATCATCCGTCAAAACTAAATATATATAAAATCTAGATTACTTCTTCTTATTTAAAATATTTATTATTGTTATTTGATGCGATTATTTATGTTGCTGTTATACGAAAGTTAGTTAATTAATTTTATATTATTCTCACACTGTTTAATTAAATAAAATGTTATTATTTATAATATTTAAAATAAAAGAAAAGGAAATTTAATATGTAATTACCATTTACTAAATGAATAACATTAGCCATGAAATTTATTTCCTTAAGAATGATTAATTATTTATAGTTACATAATATCTACTTAAATATTTTAGATAAACGAAAGGAACGTACATTTCCTTGCAATTAGATATATTTTTTGTACAGTCTAAAGTTAGTATAAAGATTTGTATACATAAATCAACAAGAATGTTACTAAATGTATACACACTTCAAGTTAGATGGACCATTCTACATATTTGTCTAGCTAAATTTTGCAAATTATTAAGACTGTTTTCCTTTTAAAGAATTTCGTTTACATTTCTGAACAATATTACGAGGACTTCGATCTTAGACGAAATATAGTTACGATAAGAAATAATAATATCCACCCTACAGTTATTAAGAAGCCAATATAAACTTCTGGCTCAGATATGGAATATCCTTTATAGATGATTCCTCTCAATGATACACAGGACAAGTTTGTTGGCGCTAAATAGCTAAACCAACGAAGCACTTTTGGCATTCCCTCTACTGGCCACATAAATCCTATAATTTTATCAATTTATTAATTGAATTTGTATATTAAAAATTTGATTTACGTAATTCTTCTTAAGATATTGTTCATATTAATATAAACTAACATTTCCTAACTTTTTACATTACTATTAACAATAATGTATTTCTACGTATAACAAAGAATTGTAAATTCAATAATAATCAAATTAATAACGATATATTCTGTGTAGCAATACTAGATTAAAAAAAATATTTCCCGAAATATAAACAGTAAAAACTCACCGTTGAGCAATACTAACGCGAAAAAACTTCCGGCCGCACCGTAATGCGCTGCAGTATGATTTTTGAACATAACAGAAAGGACGAAACCTGAAAACGCATTTATATAACTGATTAGTATAGTTTCCAGTTTCTGAATTATTACTATGTTAAATTACTATTATATACTTTTTTTTTAATATCTACATTGTATTGTATAAAGTGCCGTACCATACATTAGTCCGCTAAAACCATTAAGGAATATAAGGACCATTACATTAAATATCGGTCCTTTACATTCTAGGCCCCATATAGGAAATACTATAAGCATTATCATAGCAGTATGGATGATGATGACGATGCTCTGAATAAGAATGTGAGACAGTAGAATTTCTTCTGTTCTGACCCCTATCACATATTTATATTACACATTTGTATTGTTGTAGTAAGAAATAAAAAGATAAAGAAGTAATTGTAAAACATAATTTTGCACACGATTAACAACATGTTTGGAGATACGGTAGTGTCTCGGCGCTAAGTCAAGCGCGGCGACACTACCTGGTTACTTTACGCGAGCCAGCGAGTTGCGGCAGATTGAGATTATCAGATCTCAATAACTGATCAAGTTCTATATACGCTCAATCGATAGTCACTACTTATTAGTAAATTACCTTGTACTACGCTTCGATTCCAGACGCCCTCCATCCTATCTGTAATTATTAAAGTAGTAGAAACCGTGGCGGCTAAAAAGAAACTAAGTCTGAAAGGAATATAAATAATTTATGAACAGCTAAAAATTAATTTTATTCAACTTATTTATACAGGGTGTTCATTCGACAACTTTCCAGTTGTTTATCTTAAAAAATATAAAAGATACAAAAAAAAGTTAAAACACGTATATTCCATGATTTCGAGAGTAAAAGAGAATGGCACTATTAATTTTTTATTTGGAGTGTTCTCAACGTAATTTGAAGGTCAAATTAATTTTTTTAAATGGAAATGTATATTTTTTATCACAGGATATTATTCTACGTAAAAAAACAAGTAAGTTCTGTAGGAAACATTTTTTCGTTCGATCACTATTTTAAGAGATATTTAAGAAAATAGCAAGGCATAGTTACTGCATAAAATTTCATCATTTATTATAACAAATGTTCAAAATGTTCTCCGTTGTTTGCAAAACAATAATAAAGGCGATTCTGGAATTCTGAATGAACATTTGGAAAGTATTTGCTGGAATGCTCTACATTCCTGTACAATTTTTTGACGTAAATCGTTGATATTTTCCGGTGGAGTTTTTGAGTCGAACTGAATGGCAATCTTTATTTAAATTTACTAGACAACGTTATTGATGCACTTATAACTGAAAGTCTTAAAAATCAAAAAGATAAAAATGGCGAATTGTTGTTAAATGAGGAACCTTTATGCTTCTCCAACAAGATGGTGCTCCCCCACATTATGTGTTACCAATTCGACAGTGGCTAAACAATTGATTCCCATAGAGATGGATTGGTAGAAGAGGAGCCATCGAATGGCTCCCAAGATCTCCTGATCTAAATCCATTCGATTTTTTCTTATGGGGACACTTAAAATCCGTTGTTTATAAAACTTCACCGGAAAATGTCAACGATTTACGTCAAAAAATTATACAGGAATGTAGAGTTATTCCAGCAAATACTTTCCAAAATGTTTATTCAGAATTTCAGAATCGCCTTTATTATTGTTTAGCAAACAATGAAGAACATTTTGAACATTTGTTATAATAATAAATGATGAAATTTTATGCAGTAACTATGCCTTACTATTTTCTTAAATATCTCCTAAAATAGTGATCAAACGAAAAAATGTTTTCTACAGAAGTTACTTGTTTTTTTACGTAGAATAAGATCCTGTAATAAAAAATTTACATTTCCATTTAAAAAAATTAATTTAATCTTCAAATCACGTTGAAAACGCCCTCCAAATAAAAAATTGAGAGTGCCATTGGCTGCGTTCAGCAGAGAAAGCAGCTTTGCAACTCTTGTAAAATTCTTTAATATGATTGGTCTTGCCCTTATTTCTTTATTAGATCTAAATGTATAAGCCAATCATATTCAAGAATTTTACAACAGTTGCAAAGCTGCTTTTTCTGCTGAACGCCAGCCATTCTTTTTCCCCCTCGAAATCATGGAATACGTATTTTAACTTTTTTTTGTATCTTTTATACTTTTCGAGATAATCAGCTGGAAAGTTTTCAAATGAAGTATATATTGTATAGATTGATTTGTGCTTACCCTAGTATGTAGGTTGGTGCCATGTAATTTGCATAATTGAGGTCGGTCGCACCGTAAATGGGTTCTTCAAACTGAAAAAGAATAGAATTTTATTCTTTTAATCTATTTCTATGTAAGTGAGAGGAAGAGAGAGAGAACGATTTTGTTACAATATCCAAAAATTTAGCTAGATATAAATTTGAAAATAATTTTGTCCGACCATCCAAATTTTTAGACTAAAATCAGTTTGAGTTTCTTATATAAAAATTGTGATGGTTTAACAAAATTATTTTAAGACCTGTATCTAGTTAAATATTTGAATACTTGAGCAAAATTCTTCTCTCCGTAGAGATATTCAATAATAACTGATTATAAAAGATACTTACTCGAATGGGTGGATCTGCCATTTTTGGCGAATATTTGCACTCTCTCATGATATCCTCATAAACCTCTAAGAAACGATCGAATAATTTCTGCTGTATAAAATATCCAATTTGCATATCTACAACAAAAGCATTGTAGTAATTTTACTGATATTATACACATCGATTAATTTGCGTTCCGTTTTTATTAAAATGTTTATAACTGTGGCGGCCCACCACCAGAGGTCCAAAAGGGAAAGACTTAAAAGGGAGAGACTCGCGCTAATTCTCTCATGTACTCGAGATACATGAGATCTATTCATATAGCACCTCGCTCTAAGACACCTCCAGGCGTCTAAAAGGCAGGCTCCCACTACAATGCCTTACTGATGAGTCGAGTAGTGGGAGCCGGGACGAAACGCAGCAGTGGATGACAACAATATTTTCGCATTGACTACCACACGGAGCCAAATAATTACAATAATTTTTAATTTCTTGAACCTCTTTGTGTAATTTTTTAAAATAATGTATTTTATTTTTTTATATTTTTTAAATATTATATTTATATACACAAATTGATTAAATTGTTTAAATTTTTTAACAACAAGGAACGTTTTGTTAAAATATAAACAACTTACCTCCCATATCGAGGAAAACTTGAATCTGGCTGGCGAGTAGATCGGAATCTTTTGCGAAAGTGGCTTCTTCCACGCGTATTTGCAAAGCTTCGGAGAAGTTTTGACTAAAATAGATTACACCACTGAGCTTTGCATTTTGTACAGCCTGTCTTGCCTTGGGAATGTCTTCATAATACTCCTGAAGGCGAAATATAAATAACAATTTTTTAAAAATACTGTAATACATTGATTATTGTTACTGCGTCATCCTGTCAATTTATATGGAAACGTATAATGTATATTATATTTTTTAAATTTCACACACACACACACAATTTACATATATATATTGAATAAATTTGTGGGAAAGGTGTTAATGAAAGAGAGAACTCCATTCACAAATTGATTGTCTACAGCATCGTTTGCCTATATCACGTTTGTCAACAGGTCATTTGCTTCAAAAAATTATTGCCTAGAACTCGATTGCCTACATTCTTTTACACTGGTAATATTATCGTATTTGTAGATGTTACATTATAAGCAAAAAATTTCAACTGTGATTTAAATCTATAAGTCGAATTTATTAATATTAAATCTTATAGGAGACCGTGTTATAATTTAACCGTGAGAATTAAAAACAATGAAAAATCTGTATACCTTAAAATCTGTAAATAATTAATTCCCTTTGCAAAACATATTACCTCGGCTGAGAGATAATATTCTTCTCAATAAGAGCTAATTACATCGTTTTCTTTCTCTTCAACGCTCGACATATATTTATATCATTTTAAATGTAAAAGCAAAGTGTGTAAGCAAAGTGTTAACAAGGCAAACAGACCTAATTGTAGAAGCATCGTTAATTAGCTTGACCTGTTTCTCATCGGTTTTTCATTAGTCAAATTTATTGATTTATTGATTGTCTCTACAACTTTTTTGTTTTGTTTTATCTAATTGTTGTTTGCCTATGTATCATTTTGCCATACGAGCGTTTTCTTTTATATTTATAAGCTGTGCAATAATTATATTTATAATTGTTCGATAGATTTACTTGGCACTTTGCCCTTCTTATATTTGTATTGTTTTATACATATAGAGCCTTTTCATTATTTATTTTATTATATTTATAATTGTTTTTATTGTGTAATAAACCTATTTAAAGTTAAGAGGGCTACAGTAAAATTTTATCGGGCAGAAATAATGCCAAATCAGATTTCTACCCGAGTATCGACCACGTATTACTTCATCCTTATAATTTACATTAGACAAAGGTGATATGTATGACATCTGGAGAGCACACGGGTTGGAATGTGAACACGCCAGTTCGATTGTCTACAAGTATTCTCTGCTATAAAAACATAAATTTTGTTTTAAAACACAAATATTCTGCTAAGACCAAATCTCCGTTTTAAATGTACAAAATATTTTCTCACGTAGTATAATCTTAATTTTTTATTTGTACGCAGAAAAATGAATGTAGGCAATTAAGATGTAGGCAATAATTTTTGCGTGCAAGCAACCTATCGGTAAATGATGTAGGCAAACGATCTTACTATAGCAATCAATTTATAGGCAAAAAGTGCCATTTTTTTAAGAAAACATGAAATTGTTTTAATCATATATATTCCAATTATACATTATTAATTTTTAAATTGTTGTACCTGTGTAGCAATAGAATTGTCAAATTTATGTAGAAATCTACAACTGAGGTTACCAAAATGACAAGTGAGTTCGTCACTCCAAACATTGCCAAAGTTGCTGTCGGAATTACAGTTTTCGACTTCTTTGTTGACGACACCAATTTTCAAATTTTTTGGATCATCACCAATTGCTATAATAAATACGCCCATTTGAAGTATCGGAAATACTACTGCGAAAATTAGTCCTCTGAAAAAATGTGTCAATTATTATTTACTATTATTGTATTTAAAATATGGTACGATTAATAAATTAAAATTTTTTTTAATATAATGTTTTGTATATAACAGTTCAATGATGTACGAAAATAATACAAAAAGTGGCAAGTTTTTAAATTAAATTAATTGAATTTCTTAATTTTTTTTTTTCTATAAGTACATATCTTGCCTATTCTACATTCCCTATATCTTGTATATGTCCTATAATACCCTATATATATAATATGTATATCCCCTAAAAGAATTAATTATTAATACATAGATATATTAATATATATGGTATGCATATATTTACCCATAATCACGTAAAAATTGAGTGCCATTCTTTGTCAATAGTGCTTTATACCTTCTCAATCGCGAAACTGGACGTTTTGAAACTGCTTCGTACTTCAAGTATGCCTTAACAATTCAATTTATTTATGTTATAAAATATTATCGATTATATAGCTTTTTATAACAATAATTAGGGTATAGATTATTTTTCTACATATGTACTTTTGTTGGTTCACAATGTTGATTTTGATCCTGGTGCAAGACGTTACCGCGCATATCTTCTACTTCGGATCCTTGAGCTTCATCCAAAGTGACTGTATTATTTTGGATATTGCATAACTTCAAAAAAGCTTCTTCTAAGAACGAACATTGGTATCGCGCCAGCAATTCCTGCGGTGCTGATTCCGCTAACAATTTACCACATCTCATCAAACCAATCTGTATAATAATAAAAATGTGCAATATCTAATTTATGTCATATATCCTATAATACCCTATATATATAATATGTATATCCCCTAAAAGAATTAATTATTAATACATAGATATATTAATATATATGGTATGCATATATTTACCCATAATCACGTAAA